AGTTTAGTAACTGCTGTGGAATAGCTGCATCCCACACTGTTATTATGAAGCAACACAAAAAGCAATGTGTTTATCTCAACCAAAGACATAGTCCAAAAGCCCTGTAAGCAGGGGTCCATTAAGTATGTAATCAGAACTTTAGGATATTTAATTCCTAATTCTGTGCCTCTGCACCCATATAAAGCCCTGGTTGGTGAAGTAAGTGACTTTCCATTAACTTGCCCATTGACTTTTCCCAAAACAGAAACATGGCTGTGACATTACAACACTTACATGAATGAGCACTCAGAGGCAGAGAAACAAGAAAATGCAAAGCACTCTGATCAATGCCACTCCTTCACAGGTAAAATAAGAAACTCTTCTATTCTTCCTTTTAATTTGCTCTGAACTCACCCCATAAATGCTGATGCAATACCTGAAATAATGCTTTCCTGCCAGACACAAAAAAAGGACTAAAATTCAGTGTGTGTGTATTGTCGTCTGAATGGGCTAAGAAATACAAAACTTTTGAGAGCTCACTTTCTCTAAGGCCGTTAACGACCAAAAAAAAAAAAAGAGAAATAACAAACCATTAGTTGCGTTCAGGATATTCCCTGTGTTGAAACAAAAAAAACCCTCTCCTTCAGGCAAACAAAGATCTTTTTCTTCAAGGGAAAAAGACATCATTTGAAAAACGTGTCGTGTGCACATCACAACGGCTCCAGACACGGATGAATCACCCTTGATTATTTTACGCACGACCTGCTAACGCGCGTTTTAAGATGCCCACGCCAATCCACGGTAAGGACAATAACTTCCTTGTCGCAATATATCGCGTTTCCTAGCGTGATCGGTTTCCCCGACGTGCAAAAGTAAAAATCCCACCCGCAGTCCCGCGGGGCCGGGCCCGGGGAGCAGCGTCGGGCGCCAGCAAAGCTCCGCGCAGCTCCGCGTCCCGGCCGTGTTTCTACCTCCCCTCGCTTCCCGCGGGGCCGCTCCCGAACCTCCCGCCGCGGCCGGCGGAATGGACTCCCAGGCGTCCCAGCGGGAGAGGAAGCGAACGGGCCCCGCGAGCAGCGCCCCGAGGCCGCTCGCCCGTTCCACGCCCCGTCCAGGCCCGAGCCGCCTCCCCAGCGAACGGGGACGCCGCCGCCGCGTGCCCTCCCTCCCTCTTCCCCCCGCAGCCCCTCGGTTCTCACCCCTCGGCTGCGGAGCGGGGCGGGGATGGCGCGGGGGAGGCGCTGGGCCGGCTGAGGCCCCGCTAGGCCGCGAACACACCGCGCCGAGCCGCTGCCGCCGCGCCGCGCGGGGTCATGTGACCCTCCTCTTCCGCCAGCGGCCCGGCATGCACCGCGCCGCGCCACCACAGAGGCGGCCGTGCCAGAGCGCCCCCGCTCGCGCCCAGGCAGTACCGCGGCCGACCATAGAGCGGCGGCGGGCAGAAAGGCCGGGGGCAGCCAATGGGCGTGCGCGCCGCCGCCATCTTTAGTGCGGCGGGCGGCGCGGGGCCGTGACCTGGCTCCGAGCTCCGCCATGTCGAGGTCAAGCGCCGCCGGTCGGGGCTAGGGCGAACTGGAGGCCCTGGAAAGCCTCCGGCAAGCCTCCGTCTGTGGAGAGCCTTGCCCGTCTGTCAGCCGTCATGGCCCCCTCAGCCAGACACTTAGGCCGGGCTGAGCTGCGACCTGCCCGTGACGGTGGTCGGGACGGGCTGTACCGCAGGCAGAGAATCCCCTCCCTCGACCTGCCCGCATTGTTTGGGATGCAGCCGGCTTTCATGGAAGGTTCTGTGTGCTGTAAAAGACCTAAGGATTTACACAGCAAAAAGAGTGGTGTCTTAGGCAGCTGTATGCTCATCAGAAAGACGTCACTGTGCTGTTGGGCATCTACAGCTGGTAGTTTCTCTGACCTACTTTCAGCATTTAGACTACATTAAGAGATAATTTTCAACGTGACATGCAAGACAGTAATTGCTGTAGTTACAACACTGGTGGAAATGAGTTGCAAGTGGAAAGAGGAAGTGACTATGAATGAGAGGAACGTGATCTTACAGTTTATTATGAGGTAGACCACAAAATGAACATACGCATAAGGCTGTTTAAAAAATGTTGGATTAGTTAAGGAAAAAAATGTGTTGTATTTTCCATTGCTTAAAGAAAAGTGCTCAAAAGACAAGAATCCCATGACAAAATCTCCACCCGTGGACTGACTTCTTCAGTACAAAGCAGATTAAAACTGTCTGGCTGATGTCGTATGTGCTACTGAACAGTCAACAACGGTTGGAACTAAGGTGCTGTTCGTCACCTTGCTTTACAAGATGATGTGTAAAGGTAAATATTTTAGCAATAGGAGATTTAAGAAATACTTCCAAGTTTGAATGTAATTTTCCCCCCACCAGAAACAGCATTTTTACTTCTAATTACAGCTTATTCCAAACAGCTGGCATATCTGCCTCAAACGAATACAAATTTAGTAACTACAATACTGACTACTGTTACTATTTAAATAATTTATAAGCATACCTAAGAAAACCAAGGAAAAGAGAAAGGGCATAACAAAAATGTTCAGAATCTTCTCTGTGTTGTTGTCTCAGAAAACAGCTCAGCTGAAAAAAGAAATGTGAATCCCAAACTGATATGTACTGCTGTAATAAGTTTTTATTTACAGGAAACATTGCAAAGGCTTTGGTCATGTACACGTTCATCAGGTGTTTTTTAGCCAAAGAAATAGGCTATTTTGCATTTATTCTTCTTACACAAATCAGCTGTAGCCTTCTGTATCCTTCTTAATCAAGGAAGAATAGCAGCAGAAGCATCCAGTAAATGTAGTTACTTTCCTGTCTTTACTCTTTCTGCTATAGGATTTTAGAATTACCCACCCCTAGTGCCTGTATTATCTTCCTGCCTTACAATTATGCAACTGAGATCCCTTTTCCAGATACTGATCACAGTTCACTTTCTTTAGGTTTCAGTACATGGCTTTTAATATTAAGGTTAAAATTAAGAGGTGCTCTTTTTGTCTGCCAATTGTCTTGTATTTCAAACATGAGAAATCATCCCAAAAATGTTAGGCAGCACCTCAGGGTACAGGGGTCCCATTGTTTCTAGACTATGTATTTTAAACATTTTATATGCATTTTTTCTTCCCTTCCTCATATCCTTTAATTGCTCCCTCTATCACATTACCAGTCTAAGTAGAGGCACTTAGAGGAAGATGCCTTAGATGCAAGACTCATTGATCTCTTTCCTTGGCCCCTCTAGATAGCACTGTGAGATTTAAGTTTCTACCTCATATGTATTATTTATATTCATCATTCAGGATTTTTTCAGTCTGAAGACATTTGGTTCACCAAAACTTTATTCTTATAGATGTCAGTCTATTTTGTCAATCTCTTCAATTAATCTTTTATGCAAAATACTGAGTGAAAATACATTATTCTAACAGCATGAAAGAGAACACAGAAGAGAGTTACTGTGCCGGTCTTCAGTCATTCATCATCACTAAGCTGCATAAAAGAAATAATTAAATCATGTATATGCCTACACAAATAGATATATAGATATATATTATATCTAGTATAATGATAGTACTTCAGCAATACACTTTAATTCTGAGAGGGCCTCAGTCACTCCTTGTGTTAGAAAATTCATTGATGCCTCATTTTCACACTAATTGGACCTGTTGACTCCGTTTTGTGAAATGATGATACTTCAGAGGTAAACTGGCAATCAGTGCCTTCTACCTGGATATCCAGTTTTGTAATTTGGCTCCCTTTTGAAACTGTTTAGCTAAAACTGAAGCAGGGGACCAAAGGATGGGGCACTGTCTGTTAGTGGTTATCAACATGTAATGTCCACTGAAGGGAAACAGTGCATGTCCCTCCTTTGGTGAAGTAACCACTAGCATTTGATCCAAACATCCAGCTGAAGACTGTTGTTACTTTATAAGAGAAATTGCCTGTGCACTGGCTGTGCTACAACAAAAATATTTTTGAAATCAGCCAATGAAAAATAACTGGCTATTTTCTTGTAGCACCCCATGAGCCAACAAGGGCTTGGAGCCACTACTGGCCAAGGTCCTTCCTCACTGAGTGGTTTCTTTGACCATCTCTGTGTGGTGCTCACCTCCCATTCCCATGGCTCCAGTTTGTGACAGTGAATCTGCCATTCCTTGGCAGGTGTGTGCCTCTATTTTGAACCTGCAATCTCTTTCAGCTATGCAAATAATGGCTGTTTACCCACAGGTTGAAGCTACAGTCCTGAAAGAAGCCCCAAAGGCTGCAGAGATAGTGACCAGTGGCTCTCCTTGTCGAGACTTCATTTAAACCCATGAGGGCAGATTAGATTTGGGTGCCAAGTGCTCTCTTCTCAGGCGGACACCGTGATCCATTCATTTGCCAGACCTGGAGGCCTGGGAGCAGCCGTCTTGTCGTTCTCCAGGCGGTGGGAGGAAAGAGCTTCGCTACGAATTTCGTCCCTTTAAACCCTGCTGGGGGCTGTTCACACTCCTCCGGCGCAGCTCCTTGGGGAACCCAGGCAGGTGTGACACAGTGGGGCGAAAACAAAACGAGGGCAGCAGAACACCTCCGCCCCACCGCGAGGGCCGCGGCACCGCGCCTGCCCGCCACGGGCGCCGCGCGTCCCGGCCGGCGCGCCGAGTCTGGGCCGGCGCAGCCTCCGGACTACAGCTCCCGGCGTGCCAGCGCCGCCCCGCCTTCAGCTCGCCGCCTTCCCGTCTCCGCGGTGAGAAAATAACCCCGAAGTTCCCCGCGATCAGCTGATCCCGGCTGACAACGAGGGGAGCGGGCGGAGGGGGCGCGGGTCCTGGCCGGCCCTGCCCTGCTCACTTCCCCCGGGCGCCCCGACTGCATGGTCGACCCCTGGGGGAGGAGAACCGGGAGATCCCCCCCGGGCGCACAGGGGACGGGGGGGAGGAGGAAGCCGCGGCCGGGACCCGAGTCCTTAGTCACCGGGTGCCGGCTGGAGGAAGGGGAAGAAAGGTGGCCGCCGGCTTGTAAACAATAGCCCCGCTCGCGGCGCCCCGTGCCGCGCCGCCTTTGTTCCCGGTCGCACCGCGGCTCCCGCCCGCTGCCGCTGCTCGGCGGGAGGAACCGGGGGCTTCCCCCTTCCTGGGCGGCCGGCGCGGCGCCGGGCGCAGCCCCAGGTAGGTCTGGGCGCGGGGGGAGGCGCCGGCCGGCACCGCCGTTACGTAACCGCGGGCGGGTCGCGGGGTCCGCCTGCAGCCCCCGCGGGCGGACGAGCCACAAGTGCGGCCGCTGCGGGGCAGCGCTTGCCTGGGGCTGCGGGAGTGTCGGGGAGAGGGGCTGCCGAGGGTCATCCCGGAGCGAGAGGGGCTCCGCGCTGCCTGGGAGCAGGGGACGCGGCCCGGAGGCAGCGGTCGAGACAAAGGCGGCGGCGGGGTGCGCAGGCTGCCCTCGGCGGGCGCTGGTCTCGGGGCTGTGCTCTGTCAACTTGGGGCGCAGAGGGAGAGGGAAAAAAATCCGTCGTCTGTCAGCCTGACCGCGCTAGCGATCGTCTTCTAGTGCTACTAGAAGGAACGCACAAAGAGAGCAGATTTTTGTTTATCTGGCGAAGCACATCAGGAAATTCCCAGCAAATAAATACTGTGAACTCTCTGAAGGAGGAGCTTAGCTGTGGAGTGAAAGCAGAGAATTTTCTAGTCTTGACACGGTCCTTTTGTGTCTGTGTGTACATATATATGCATTTGTGCATTTCTGATGCCTTTTTTGTCTCTGTGTCACCAGCTGTCTCCGCTCTCAGCTTCAGGGAAATACTTGCTGTATCTGTTGAAGTACGCCAGCCAGGGGTTTTTTGTCGTCACTGACAGTACGTTAAACAGCTAAGTAGAGAGAGAACGTGTACCAGCATTTGAGTATAATAATACATTAAACCAGCCACGTTGTCTAAGTTTATTTTGGAGGAAGAAAACTTCATTAGCACTTAACAGCACTTTTCCTGCAAAGCAGGTCAGTGTATGCATCTTACAGAAACATATATTCATTATTTAAAATGAAGTATAGACAACATTCCTTTCTTTTCTTCTTGTTTCTTTCTTTTATGTAAATTTGGAACTGACTTTTACACATATCATTGTTTGGAACAGAAACAGGAGGGCAAAACGTTGCTTTAAAGAAACCTGAAGATGAGTGCCCACACGCAAACTGTGGAGAAAGGACAGAACACGACACTCCTGTGCCAGGAAAGCTATGTTTGCAGTGGGACAGATGAAGCAATCTTTGAGTGCGATGAGTGCAGGAGCTTGCAGTGCCAGCGTTGTGAAGAAGAGCTGCATCAGCCAGAAAGGTTGCGGAACCATGAACGGACCCGTATAAGACCCGGCCACGTCCCATACTGTGACTCCTGCAAAGGTGCCAATGGGAACATAATGCATGCCAGTATGACGGGCTCAAGGCAGATTGCAGCAGTGAGGTGCCAGGTGTGCAAAATCAACCTCTGTGTGGAGTGTCAGAAGAGAACGCATGCTGGGGGGAACAGAAGGAAGCACCCTGTCACTGTGTACCATGCTGGCAAAGCCCAAGAACAGGAAGAGGAGGAGGGGATGGATGAGGAGACCAAAAGAAGGAAGATGACAGAGAAAGTTGTGAGTTTCCTCTTGGTGGATGAAACTGAGGAGATTCAGGTAAGAACTGTTGTGGTTTGTTGTGAACAGACAAGATGCTTTAGTTTCTTTCTTAGTCTAGCTGGCTGCTGTGATGCGTGGTTAATATGTGAAGTGTAATTGGCGGCAGCAGTAACAAAATGATGGCCAGGCAAAGTACAAGTGCCACTGAGCATCCTGGGCTAAAAAGACACAGTGCCTTCGAGTGGCCTTGCTCATGAGTTCCTCAAAAGGTCAAGTTCATTAAAACCTTATGTGTGGCAAGGGCCTCCTGTAAGAGGCTTGGTAAGCAAAGCTGGTGAAAGAATTGACCCTGTACTGAGACACACACAACTAAAGATAAGAGCTGTCTGTGCAGGATGCTGATCGTTCCTGAGCAAAACTGAATACGTTGTATTGCAATAGGCTGCAAATGGGAGTGCTGACAGACAATTTCCTGCTGTATGACTAGGAGAGGGAACTGTACCAAGTAGTGCTGATGCATGACTACAGCCCATTGCTGCCATTTAGCACCAGTAAATCCATCTGATTTTTAGGAGCAGAACAAAATAGAAATAAGTGCCCTAAGTGTTCCATACAAGTCCTACAGACACCATGGTTAAGCTATATGGCTTGTCACAAGTATTACATGTTAGCCTTTTGTTGAAAGAGGGGAAGTTGCCATTGGAGTAGGTCTGCTGATAAAAATGATAGGAATTAGTTGACTAGGAACAGCCTCCCAGGAGGCACTATTTTAGAAAGTCTAGCATTCAATATATGCAGTTATAGAACTCTCCTGTTGGCCCTTACATTTGGTAAGCATTCTAGAAGGCAAAATGTGTGAAAGCCACAGAGCATATTAATTGCACAGCTAAAAATTGAGCTTTGTTTTCTGACTTAGTTTGCATTCCCTATGTTTAAACCTCATTCAGGAGCCACTGAAAGAAAATGTATAGTCACCTGGAGCCTCAGTATCCGGTTGCTCTAATTTAACATACTCATGCTACCATCATTAAACAGAATTGTGATTATATTCTTATTCTTGACAGTTATTTATATCCATCACAGTAACAGTTGATGAGCCTGTCATGCATCACAAGGAAACCTAATATGTATCTGATACATATGCTATACCATAGAAGTGTGTGTACATACATATATATGTATGTACACAGTAATAATACAATAATGTAGAATAGTTGCAAGATACTTGGGTCATATTTTTGTCAATGCAGGTGTACCAATTGCTGAACTGTCATGGCTTTTGAAGGTGAAAGGGAGGAAAGGATGACAGTCCTTATGGTGCACTGACATAGAACACACTATGCAGGACAGCAGTGACTGTAAACTGAGTGCTTAAGTTCCAGGTCTGTAGCAGTCTTCAGTTTGTATGCCTCCAAGCCCTAAGCACACACTTATTTCCTTTTAATGTGTGACAGATGCAACTATTACTTTAAGATGCAGACTTTTCAATAATCCTCCTCTGGCCACTAGAGCAAGCTCTGAAATGCCTTGGAATGGGGCTGTCCTGCAAAGCTGCTCACAAACTGTGTCTGTGTGTGGTTGTACTGGTTTAAGTTATATTTATACTCATGAATCTGTAAGCCTTATTGAGGTAGACCTTTGGCTGCCTCCTGCAAGCAAGTGCATTTGCTATTTAAATGTCATGGGCAATAAAGCCAACTTCCTTATTGGGATAGCAGTGGTCCTTTATCAGATCATAGCAATTTGGTGAGAACAGGGTTGGGTTGAAAAAGCTCTCCAAAAATGATCTTATTTCACTATCAAGACATTGAATCAGAGCTCTTCCATCTGGAGTGATCTTCTCTTCCTCACAGCTGAATATGTATGTGACATCTCACAGCCAGTATCAAAGCAGTTTGAGAGATTTCAATTCAATTATTTTCTGACAGCTGGAATTCAAAGAGTGCTTGCTTTTATAGTGATAATTCTGCTAGTGAGCATAAGGACCTTTATTTAGAAAGGCCTGTCAGATGCCACAGAAAATGTCTTCAGAGCTAAGTAGTCGTCTTTTGCTCTTGGTAATACAGAGGAACCAATTTAGCTATAGGAAAGTGATCATCAGTCTCTTATTTTGTGCTTGTCATTACTTGGGGAGAAATCATTAAAATGTTCTTTATTTAAACCAACTTTTTGTCCAAAAATGCCAAAATATTAGTAACTTGAAATATGGAGGTTCACATTTTGAGACTGTGTGGCTTTTTAAGCTTGAGCAGACAGGATAAGAATTTAACAGAATTATGTAGTTCAGCTGTCTTTAACTGTTAATGACCTTTGGAACTTGAAAATTGTTGCATTGGTTGGGAAATAAGAGAGGAAACTGCTGATTTGCTATCAATGGTAGATTTTGCCATAGCAGTGTTAAAGGCTACAAAATTACGGGTGGTAAAAGCTAAACCACCCTTACACTATCCCCCCCCCTCCCCAATTAGATGGAACTAGTTAATGCTGCTGGAGCAGCAGATGATGATATTTGTTTACAAACATCTAACTTGAACACAGGGCTAAAAGATTTGTTTTTTAGTTTCCTTTGGAACCTGGAGTTGTTAAGCTCAAGTGGTTATGTTTCATCTCGCTGTTTCTGTTGGCTTCTTGGAGGTGGTGGCTCTAAAAGAGAAGAATATTTATAGTGTGTAAGCAAATGACTGATCTAGTTCTAGATCCAGAAGCAATGTGGATTAATCCATAAGGAGCTGTGCCTGAGCAAATTGGTTTGGGAGAGGTGGAAATTCTCAGTTTGGGCTCAGCACTACACAGATACAGCTATGATAATTCTGAGATCTGCATAATTGTCTTTGTGCCATGTTGCACAGATGTGCTGGCCTGCTCAAAGCTCTTTGTGCTTTGCAGGCATAGCATAAGCTCAGAAAGCTGAGGACTTCTTGTGCTTGTTCAAGTCCACATAGGCAGAAAAGGTCCCATTTTAAACCACTGTTTGTTTTTCGAAAACTAATGGTAGCTAAAGTTTGTGTCTGTGAAATACAGGCTTCCCTGTGATGTTCATCATAACAGCGCTCTATCTGAGCACCTCAAAAAGAGGTTGGCTATCTCATGTTAAAAAAAACCAAACAAGTTGTTAAAGGTTAAATCCAAGTTTGTACTGCAAGTCTGCAAGTCTGTGGAAAGACAGAGAGGGAAGTTGTTCCTTATGGAGCCCAGTCCCAGCTGTCTCACACCACACATTGCAATGCTTTGCAACTCTTGTGACTTAGTCCCCAGGCATCCTGATGATGAATTTTTTCTTCCTTCTTCCAGGACTTGTTGTTCCTCATAAGACCTCACTGACTTTGACTGGAAAACAAAACTTGACTGTTTGCCAGACTGGCATCACATGCAGTTTAGACCCCATTCTAGGTTGTCTTTCTCAAGCTCTGTTATGCAGTTTCTCTTTATACAGTATTAAACTTTTGGCCTTATCTATTGCATATCTAAAGCTGAGGCTTCAATCAAATTGTTCTTGATAACTGCTACATCTGTTTGTTAATTGGCCCTGACATAGTCTATCTTCCTTGCTCATCTGGGAATGATATTGTGGGGATTACTTCCTCAGTCAATTGCTTTGGTCATGTCATTCTTTACATCTTCCACATCTCCTCTTCACCTTGTTAGACTCAAACTGTGTGCCTTCTTTTATTATATGTGTATGTCCCTCAACTGAATCTCCTGATCTGCTCTGCCTTTCTTATCTATAACTTCCCAGAAAGTTCCAGAAAGGAAAGCTATAAAGCTTTCCTTTCTTATCTAGAACTTCCCAGATTCTCAAACAAGCATCACTGTGTTGTCACTAGTGCTGCCCCGTGCACACAGGAGGCACTTCCCATAAGAAGTCAGAGTCAATTAATTGGGTTTTTTAAACTGGTATTTGTGTATCTATTAAGAAAAACACAGTGAAATACGGTGATAAAAACATGACTCAGGCTGTGATACTTGTTTCAAATCCTGGGGCTCTCTTACTGCCCCATGAACTTTTCTACTCATCTGGATCTCTCTTTGTCACTTGTACTTATATTTATGCAATTTCTGGAACAGTTTCCATTTTTGCTTTGTCTTTATGCAACGCACTTGCGAAAGAGCTCTTTAGCATAAAGCAGAGTTATATGTCTGTTGTACAATTAACTTTTATTTACTACTGCTTTTGAGGCAGGGCTGAATGCTTAACAACTTTTTTATCTTGGGGAACAGATGTTGGGAGCTCTTACCACAAGATCAGAACTTGGTTGTAGTGTCACTAATGGCTTCTGTGATAGCACTTTGTCCAAAGCCCTAATTGAGGACTCAGCACATATGCTTAATAGATGTAGAAAAAGTCTTTCATTGACCCCAGGAGATAGAGGACATGCTTGGTTATTAATTATCTGCCTTAGAGTTTGCTCATCTTTGACCAGAAACTAGCTCTGTCACGAGAAATTACCCAATCTGTGAGTTGCAAACAAAAATAAAAGATGCAGACTTTGTAGTCTGACTTACTAAGGAGACTAGAAGAAAAGAAAAATTTTCCTCTATCTAGTCACAAAAATAATTTCTCCAGCTGTGTAATTTTATGGGGGAAAAGGAGCATACATTTATTGCTGTCTCCCCTGAGATACCCATATGAGCTCCCTTTCTTCAGTTTGCAGGGTCTTTTTGTTGTGCCAATAGATATTTCAACTTCCTAAATATAGCCCCATTCCTTGAGGTTTTTTGTATTCCTTCTAGAAGATCTAGACACCTAAAGGAGTAAGGTCTTCCCCTCAGCAAATATGAGCAGCATCTATGTAATGCTTTGCAGTCAGTTAAGATAATGCAGAAGGACTCACAGCCCTTATTGAAATGCAGACCATTTTGTACAATCATTGAATAACCTGTCACTAACAGCATAGTAGTCCAAGTGTCCTCCTCTGTCCCCTCCTGTTAAAAAGTTACACATACATAGTGATTACTCTGCAGGGTTGCTAGCTGCTTTGCTTTTCTCATTCCTGTAAACCTGATGGAAGTACTGAGATTTTTCCTTATTATCTACTGATTTGAGCCTGGATAAAGTC